CCTTCAGAATGGTAAAAACAGCAGATGTTTTAAACCGCACAAGCTTTTCCGAGCTCAATCGGATCAGATCACAAGAGAGATATGTTCACATAAGATCCTGGAAAGTTCAATGAGCAGTGCTTGATGTCCTCTCTACTTCAACAATTATTATAGGGAACATCCGCGTTCCGTGCACATACACCCACAGAAACAGCGGGGCGGAGCTCGGGAGATACCAGCACCGGCAGGGGGAGGGAGCCCCCGATAGAAGGCTTCGAGTGAACCGCCAGCGGCAGCATAGGTGTCTATGCTGAGAAGCTCATCAAAAACCTTATTTCAAATCATCTACTACTGCCAATGTTGACATCTACCCTAACTGCTCTAGCCGCGCTCAGCTCTGCAGCGATCGCAGCCCCTGTACTCGACAAGAGGTTCATCGAACAACCCGATGATATGAACAATGGCACGCTGTACTCAATCAGTGATTTCTCTCCTAAAGTCTTCGTTAAAACTGATGAATTCGAATTGAATTTCAAGTCCTGTGTTCAATTCACCTACAAGCTACTGAAGCCTAAAGTTCGGTAAGTTGTCCAGTACTTTTCATTTATTTCCAATTTTTGCATAGTTCTCTCAATAAATCCCTCCTCTCTGCTGTAGTTTCATTCCGGCGACGTGGTCGATCACGTATTTATGCAGCTCACGCACAAAAACTCGTTGCTAACTGTATTCCTCTGACTACTAAGGTCGCTTACTGCATGAGAATCTCGGTCAATTGGCCAGTTCTCGGGGTTTCTCAAAAAGAATACACTCATTATCTTTGATGAAGTGTTCTCTGCGCTAATCAGTTTACTTCTTTCAATGTTTGTACTGCTACACATTGAGATAGTAAGTTTGTTTCGGGACGTGTTCTTAGGCGTTGTTTACGTTATCGCCAATTCCACAAAGGGTGTGATAAGCCCAGGAACATTAAGAAAAACTTTGGCTTTTTGCCGGAGCCGTGCCCAATAATTGAAGAAAAAGACATGAACATATCGACCCTCATCTCTTCAGAGTGCTCCTCTTTGAAAACTCTGCAGCGGCTTCTCAAGTTCCGAAAAGACTTGGGTAACTTCCTCTTATCTTATTCAGGGGAACTGCAAGCTTTTTGCTGTCGTCGTAAGCTGAGCTCAGCAATATCGATTGTTTAAGGTACTCTGAAAAACTTAAACTACCAACTCCGTCATAAGCTGTAAACTGGAGGAAGCTCTAAAATGGGAACCAAGATTGAACATACACCAAATTAAATCGTCTCTTTTCAGACTCCGTGCCTACACCTGCCTTCTCTCCGAAGGAGGTTTTTGCACCCTCGATAAATTCTCTTATCCCAAGGATCGAGAAGGATGCGCCTATCTACGCCCTTGGCTCTATCCATTAGACAGGTAGATTAAACTTAGCCCACTCAAGTCTCAGAATGAAAAAATCCAAAGAAAAAAGGGAACTTACAGATATTCATTCTACTTCGTGCTAGAACGTCGCGCACGAAAATACAATGACGCTAGGAAGAGAGCTCGACGAGTTTCTCGAAAGACTGGACGATTATCCAATACGCCTTTTGGGCATATGCAACTCTATGGGGTCGTACCATGTGACCAAGTGTG